TGGAAAGTAACATCTGGGCACACTGTTAGGCTCTATTTACTGTACTAAGCATCTTTTGTTTTCCTGAAGACATAGATTATGTTGTCTCTTCTACCAGAGCAACTAGAAGAGCTACTTAGGTCAAAGAGATATTCAATAAGCACTTGTTTATTATTTAACTTAATGTCCTAAGGCTTACCTTAATAATTCTCAGCTTAATATTGTTAACATAGTCCTGTTTGCTCCACAACTGGATAAGAGAGTTATGCTTCTCTTTGATCTGTTTTTTTTTTTTAAGAATTCTTTAAATTTATTTACTATCATCATTATTTTTTTTTTTAATTTGACCAGAGAGAGAGAGAGACAGAGTGAGAAAGCAATTTGCCAGGTCCAGGATTCAAACTGCAGTCAGCCATGTAGGAGTCCAGCACCTTACCAACCACACCACCTACCAGCACTAATCTCTCAGTATTTCTATGTGGAATTTCCACTCATAAAAAGAATCAGGTTGAGTCACATACTAGAGTGGAAAGGTAAGGGTTTTCCCCCACCAAAACCTGCACGCTATAAAAACTTCACTTAGGCAGAATCCAGATATAATTCATAGCATTTATTTTATAGCTGTAGAGGAACAAGGCCAGTGTCAAATGGAACAGTGGGAAGGATTAGTTTGAGAATTCTGGTTTTAGCTCAGCCACAAAAGACATCTACCATTTGTTTTCAGGTTTTTGCCAAGGGCATGTGTGCTCCAGGAGACAAAGAGAGGGAGAGTGAGAAGTCACCCACCAGGGGGAATGGCCATGCCACAATCCCTTCTCCTCCCTTCTCCTCCTGGGATTTTGGGCATGCTCTGCACACACTCCCAGTGTGAGTTTCAAGCTGCTTGATCTGGGACATGAACTGCATCTGACCATGTGGAAGTCGAGTGCCTTAACCATGCCCTATTGTTTGTTTTAATTATCCAGTGTGGCATGGTAGTTAAGGCGCTAGACATTCCTACATGGCCAACCACAGTTCGAGTGCCGGGTCTGGTAGCTTGCTTCTCCATTTCCCTCTCTCTCTCTCTGGTCAAATGAAATGAATGAATAAATAAAACTGAAAAAATAATTGAAAAAAATCTTCCAGTATTTATTTATCTTAATGTCTGAAAATCATTACTTAAATTTCTTCTGGAAACCATCCCATTTACCCCTCTCAATTCATGGACTTTAGCTCTAGAAAAAAATATCACTGGTCAAAAATTGAGCTGATCTCCCAGGTCACAGAGATGAGACTTGTAGAGAGATGTGCCTTTTATTCAAGGACAGCCAGTAGGATGCAGTGAGGTGTCTTCTGGTGTCTAGGAAAGCAGTAGGCACGGTCTACTAGACCTGAACAAGAAAGGATAGATATGATTGCAGTTCCTAAGGACAACTTACCACCATATAGAACCCAAGAATAAACACATAGAGAAGAGCGAAAAAGAGTTGGAGAAAAAGTTCATAATTCTAATGAAATTTTCTTGTCCTCAAATATATTTGTCTTTATTTTTTAGTTTTCTTGTCATAGGGCATGTGCACTCACCAGAGAAGAAGAGACAAAGAGACATAGAGAGAAAAGGAGAAATCACCCCCACCCCAAGGAGCTGGCCATGCTGCAATCCCTTCTCTTCCATTCTCCTCTCAGGACTTTGGCCATACACACCTGGAGTGACTTTGAAGCCACCAGGTTCAGGATTTGAATCACGGTCAGCCATGCAAGAGTCCACCACTATGCCACCTGCTGGCCCCTCAAATACAACATTAATTTCAGTTCCACTTCTGGATTTTTCAGTTAGGTACACCAATAAATCCCACCCCTCTAGTATTTGGGTCTCAAGTTTCTTCTATAAAATTATTTGGGCAACGGTCACCTCCAATTCTAAAATCATGTGAGATAAAAAAGGACAGGATCTTTATCTATAAGCTTTCTGTCAGTCTCAATTGTTCCCCATTTTAGATAATGAGTCACGGTATACCTGAACCCATGCATTAACTAGCCAGGTGCTCCCCGGCATCTACTCCACCCCTAGGAAATGATGGCCATCTTCCATGTTTCCCAGAGAACAGGAAAATAACGAGAGTGCTCCCACTGAGCATGCAAGGGCTCAAGTTTTTCTTGACTTTATAGCATTTGTTCTGCTATTCCTCATTCATACATACACACATCTCAATTAGATACTGAGTTATCTGCTAACAAGTATTGTGTCTTATAGTTGGTTGTTCCCTATAAAGCCTTACAAAATGTGTGACTCCAGTGATGGGAATTTATTTCCTCCTATTGCAAAAGCAATTTGGAAGCAGATAGTCCACAGCTGACAAGCAGCTCCATGAAAAGTGAGGACCCAGCCTTCTTCCAGCCCTCAGCTCTGCCATCCCAAGGGTTTGCCTTTCTGCTCACAGCCCAGAGTGGCTGCTTAATTTGACATTATGGTCTTCCCACCCTTTGGACATTGAAATATCTATTCTTTATTATGGTAGTTAGAAAATGTGGTCATTTTTCCTCCATGTCCCTATTTGGCAAAATAAAATGTTGGCAAACTTAAGTTGAGGCCCCCTATCTTCCTGCATGCATGTACCCATTTCCCCATTGCTGACAAAGTTTTTTATTTTTAAGAGTTTTTTGCTCTAGGGAATGTGTACTCAGCAGAGAGAGAGAGACAGTGAGGAAGAAAGTGAAAAATTGCCCTCAGGGAGGTACTGGCCATACCACAATCCCTTCTCCTCCATTCTCCTCCCAGGATCTTGGGTATGCACACGCCCAATCATAAGTTTTAAGTCACCAGGTCTGGGACCTGAACCACTGTCAGCCATGTGTGAGTCCAGCAACATAACCGCTATACCATCTGCTGGCCCCATAGTTTTAAAAACTTAAAAGTGGTCTAAGAATCAACCATGGAATGATTATACAGAATGTTATAAATAACTCACTTATAGTAAATTTGAGATTCATGTAGAAACAGAAACATTAGCCAGAGGTATAATGAAATTAAAATAGCTTTTCTTCTTACATCTAGAATTGATTCTCATATCAACAGATTAATTTTGTGAAGGTGATCTGAAAAAAAGGAATTTAATTCCCGTGTCTCGGTCTTCCTCTCTGTAATAGAGTTCTCAGAATATGCTGGAGCATTAAAGATTCTGATAGTGCTTTATGCAGAATAGACATGTAAAATTAACTAAGATTTACTGTTAAAGTACACTGCATTTGAGAGCACGGATTTAGGAGGTACAATGCCTGGGTTGAACCTAGCTCTGCTGTTCACCTGCTGTGACTTCACATCTCAGTTCCCTTATCTGTAAAATAGGAATGCAAATCTTACTTTAGAGCAGTTGTTCACATTCAGGGTGACTTTGCACCCTTCCATGGGACATTTGAAGATGGCCAGACATTTTGGGTCATCACATTGCAAGAAGAGGTATGATTACAGCCACTGAGATGTCAAGGACACTGCTTCACATCCCACAATGCAGTGAAGTTCCCAGGGACGCTCATCCATTCTAAAATGTCCCACAGTGCCACAGTAAAGAAGCACTACCTTATAGGATAGTTGGGATGATTTAAATGAATTAGCATCTGTAAAGCACTTGGAATAGTCAGTACCACTTAAGTGTAGGTACCATTCTGACCCAGGTTTGTGCAGAGTGTTACATCATTTTCTCATTTAAATGACACTACCCACATTGAACAAGTACCATTATTACCATTGCTTCATATGTAGTCAAATTGAAGGTTAGGATTGGTTAAGTAGCTAACTTGCCCAAAATTACAGTTAATGATAGGTGAGGATTCAAAATCAAGTTTTTGTGGTACGAAAGCCCATGTTTTCATTTTGTTTGCTTTTTAAGTTTTCTTTCAAGAGTGTGGTCGTACACTGTAATCCCTGCAGCCTTCCCAGCCAGCCAGGACCATGGGTGCACATGCCCAGCAAGTTCCAGTGTATCAGAAACTGACCCAGTCTCCCATGTGGATCCATCTTTGCTTAAAGCAACGTATGAACACTGAGCTGGCCTTCAAAGTCCTTGTTTTAAACACTGCCTAAACTGACTGCTAAATATTACATGTAAACTGGAAACTTTCTTAAACAAAATCTGCCTTAAGCCCCCATCTAAATGCCCATATTGTGCCATCTCCCAATAGCAAGAGTTGAATAATTCAGCCCAAACTTGCATTTTTATTAACTATCAAATAAAACTAACCCTAACAAATTCCAATTTTAGAAAGCTATTTTATTTATTTATTTATTTTGAGAGGTTTTTGCTATAGGGCACGTGCGCTCGCCAGAAAGACAGAGAGAGACACAGAGACAGAAACCGAGAAATCACCCCCCAGGGGGGATGGTCACGCCGCAATCCCTTCTCCTCCATTCTCCTCTCAGGATCCTGGGCACGCACGCACTCACACCTGGCGTGAGTTTTAAGCCACTGGGTCCGGGACGCAAACCGCGGTCGACTACTTGGGAGTCCAGTGACATAGCCATTATGCCAACTGCTGGTCCCTTAGAAAGCTATTTTAGAGGCTCTTCCTTTTAGACATTTAAAAAGAAAAAAAAATAATTGTTTATTTATTCATCTATTATTATTATTGTTCTTCAATTTGACCAGAGAGAGAGAGAGAGAGAAAGGGAAAGCAACAAAGCAAGCTTCCAGGTCCAGGACAAACTGTGGTTGGCCATCTGGGAATCCATTGCCTTTATACACCATGCCACCCGCCAGGCCCCCTTTTAGACATTTAAATTGGACTTCTCTGCAAATGTCATAGACATTAACATCCACTAAAATTTTGTTAGTTATAACCTGAAGATAGTGACTGTATTCTGAGGACAATGACAAAATGGTGGCACACATTGCCACTAAGACCTTCTGTGGTGCCCGTAAGGAGGTGTGCAGAAGACGGAGTGTAGACGATATTGGAATTTAGGAACTATTACGATGTGTCGGAAGACCCATTTAAAAGAATGACCAAAATCTTTCCAGAATCATCAAAGAAGGAATCCCAGAAAAAGAAGCACACTACGAGAGTTAATTTTATTTGTTCAAGGGCTCATATTGCAAGCATTAAACCAAGCATGGACTTTGATTCTGTGGGCCCACATTCACATATTAAGGTAAAAGCAAACTGTGATCCACATACTTGGATGAAAACTAAAGGCTCATGGTTAATCACATTGTAGTGATAGAATTTCTACAGCCTAGACCTCAGTAGTCACAGGTCTTTCAGGTCCTTCTGGATGTCCCACAGAGTATCTGCACTCTTCTTGAGCTGAGCAACCTCGTCGTCCTTCAGCTTCTGGTTGATAACACTGGTCAATCCCCGAGCATTGAGGATACACGGAAGGCTCAGGAAGACTTCATTCTCGATGCCATACATCCCCTGCCAGAACAACAGAGGCATTTGATGAGGGCATGAAATCGTGAGAGTGATCAAGAGTCTGATGTTCGAACAGAAAATTATACAAAACTTGATAATCATGGACTTGTTAATTTTTTTGGTCACTCGAAGGCCCATATGTCCTCAATACATACTACTATTATCATTATTGTTAAATTTTTGTCAGTGGGTGCATGCACTTGCTGAAGAGAGATGGAGGATGGGGGTTGTTGCATATGAGAAAGCATCCCCCATGGGGAACAGTCATGCCACAACCCCTTCTTCTCTACTGTTCCCTCCTTTTGGGATTTTAGATACTCATGCACATGCACTGGTGTTTTTCTCAAAATGCCAGACCCAGGACTTGACCCACATAGTCGGCCATGTGGGATCCAGCTGCCTCAACCACTGTACCATAGGTTGCCCCCCCCATGCTTAGGTTTTAAATTAGATTTTACACATAGACTATGCAAACAGATAATATGATAAAATTAGATATTTTTAAGAAAGTAATGTTTTAATGAACTTACTGACTGTATTTCGTAAACACTGCTCTCTGCCCAGATACACTTTCAAAGGATTTGATATGCAAGCCTTTAAATTGAATTGCTTTCAATTATGGTTCACTTTCCATTAAGGAACCACACATTTCTTAAAGATTTTTGGGTAGGAAGAGAATCTGAGATAATATCCTATGTCCTAAGTAGTAGTTGGAGGCTGCTAAAAGTCAAGATTCCTCCAATACCCAAAGGTTACTAAAAAAATAATTTCTGGAACACTACCAGTTTCTGTAAGGATATTTATTCCTTAAGAATCAATTTTTCTGTATAACTAATCAGATTAATTATAATAAACAAATTTTTTGAATGTGATTTTTAAAACTTAATTTCAAAAATTTTTGTACACACACGAAAGTAGAGATAATAAATTTCTATGTATGCACCCTAAGACTCGGCAATTACTCCACTTTTACTGTATTTGTTTTTTAAAAATTCTCTATAGTATTTTAAAGCATGTGAAACCATGTTCCCACAAAAGATTTTTTTCTTAAGTTTTTATTTTATTTTGCCAGAGGGCATGCATACTCACCAGAGAGGGAGAAGGAGAAAGCACCTCTCCCAATGTGATATGACCATGCCACAGTATCCCTTCCCCCATTTCTCTATTGAGTTGGGAATTTGGGCACGCGCCCACAAGTTGCCAAGGCTGTGACTTGAACCAAGCGGTATTCAGCTTTCTCAATGACCAGACCGTGGGGCCAGCCCTTTACTTTATTCAAGATAGACACTGCATTTGCACATATGCAACAGAGGGAATGAGCAGAGAGTAGGAGAGAGGTATCCTTCTTGGTTACATTTTGATACCCAGTCTTCAGTCCTCCAGATTTTCAAGACCCCAGGCACTAGTAAACATGCTAACATGTTTTCAGGGCAACCTCGGGATCCCAATCCATGGTTGGCCATGTGGCTTCTGGCACTGAAGTTTAGTTTGTTACGAACCATGCCACCTGGCTGGGCTATATTTCCAGATACTTCTACATCTATCTCTTCTGCATGTTCCTTTTCATCTACAGAATCCCCTCCCTACTTACTTTTTCACTTCTGACACTGACCTGTGATGAGTCAGTTGTCCTATACAATGTTTAGCAGAATTTAAGCTTTATTTATAAAATAATCAGTTTCTACTCAATGGTTTTGTGTTTGCTCCATAGCTTTTGAATTAAAATCTTATTTGCTGAAGAACTAAATGCTACATAAAAAGTAATCTGTGGGGGAATCAGTAGACAGCGTGGTTCTATCATTGGACTCTCACATGGTCAACCGCAGCTCCAGTCCTTGATCCAGAGGTCTGAAACTCACACTAGGCCCACGTGCGTGTGTGCATGCGCAAAATCCCAAGAAAGGAATTTAGAAAGGATCGTGATATGGCCATCCTTCCCGGGGATGAATTTCTCATTTTCTCTCTCTCTTTTTCTCTCCGACGAGTACATGCGCCCTATAGCAAAAATCTCTCTTAAAAAAAAAAAGGCAATCTATGGTTTAATACATTAACTTTAAATGAAACTCTATTATATTTATCTAACTGTTTATATAACTTATGACACGTTGAGTAAGATTTAAAGTGAATATTTAAATGTCTACATAAAACTTAAGAGATACAGAAATAACTGTGGACTATGGACTTTATCTTGTCCTTATTTACATTAATCTTCTTATAGAATAAAATTATAGCAATCATATTATATTTTATACTAGTTTATCTGACCTTCACCATGGTTGACACTGGATGAATCCTGGACAGGTTTTTCAACATGGATTCAATGAGATCAGCCACACTTAATCCAATCGCCCAGTTGGTATATCCTTTTAGCTTGATGACTTCATAGGCACTGAAGAAAAAAATAAATCATAAAAGAGATGATGGAAACCATTAACTATAATCTTGGGCAGAGTATTGAACACGTCTTGCTTCAGCATCCTCTTCTTTGAACTGGAAGTAATTTACTTCTTCAGTTTGTTATGAGTATTAAATGAGTTAATGTTCAGGTAAAATGATGACAACTATAGGTACTACAGAGTAGGTTCTGCATAGATGTTTTGATACATTTAAATGGGTTATTGCATTAATGAATATTTATAAAGTCACAGTGGTAACATGCCCATGTTCCAACCAAGGTACCTTATTCATGAGCATGGATATTTCCAAACATGTGGAAGAAATCAGGAAATAGCAAAAGTAAAAGGATAATAAAATAGGTCTCCATTGTGAGCTCCCACATGCCATTGCGACCTAAACTATTATGATCAACTTACTTAAAAGAAAAGTGATAATGACACCTTGCCTGCAATTTTCAGAGTGTAAACTGTACACCTCAAAACCCATAGAGAGGGAAACAAACAAACAAACAAACAAAAACAAACCCCTAGAGGCACTGGTACTTGAGAAGTAGCAGGAGAGACTCTCATTGAGTATCAGGTAATGAGGGCTTAATATAATCTACCACTGACTAGAAGACCTGGAAACCAGGTTATGTTACCTGAGTGAGCCTCAGTTTTGCAAACTGTATTAGTTAGATGAGCTTCAGTTTTCTCATATGTAAAATAAAGGGGTTATTATGTTAATTGGAGTTCCAAGGGTTCTTTTAACTATTAAAGTTCTTTTTTTCCACATTTTAAGTCAACTTCTTGAAAAAATAAATGATTTAAAATTGAATTGAACAGAATGCTTCCATACCTGAGACACCAGTTAGTCTCATTACAAAAATGCCCTGTAATTAGTAATAGCTGACACTTATCAATGCTGTGTGTGCCTAACTGTATAGGTGCTTTTACTTCATTTTAACAGTAGGTCTACTACCATACAACTTCACAAAGTAGAAACCAAGAGTCACCTCAAAGGTTAAATGGCTTCCCTGAAACTGTACAAATTAGTATCAAGACTAAATTCCAACCATATATATATATATAAAATATATATATATATATATTTTAACTTTGCCAGAGGGCGCATGCACTTGCCAGAGAGAGACAGAGAAACAGAGAAAGGTAGAAAGCATACCCCCTGTGGGGCATGGAATGGTGCAATTCCTTCTCCTCCATCTCTTCATCCTGTTAGAATTTGGAGCCTGAACACACACGTGTTCAGTGTTTTTCAAGCTGCCAGGTCTGGGATTTGAACAATGGTTAGCCATATGTGATATGGTTCCCTTAACCACCAGGCCACAGGGTCAGCCCACAGCTCACTATTCTTTACTCTAGTTCAGAATGACACCTTATTTTATGATAAAGATGAGGTTCATAGAGAATAGGGCTGGTTAGAGTGATAGCTTCAAAAAATAAAGAAAAAAAGGTGAAGATCTTTCATTGCTTCTGGAAAAGTAAATATAGAAGAGCTTAAACACTTCCGGGAACCAGTTAGCAAGTATTTACTTAAGGCAAATGTAAGGCTAACAGGTCTAGGTTTACCTTTCTAGATAAATCCACCTGATTTGTTGATGAAAGGCAATGTGAAAGGCCTTCTCACTTTTTAATTCACGTTTTCTCCTGTGTCTTCTACAATAGACTTTCTCCAGAGAGAAAATTATTTGTCCTACCCTAGGGAGACCGACATAGCAAGTCTGACCAGTGTCAATTAATCTTACCTGCAAAAGGTGACAGCTGCATATCTAGCACAGTAAAAGTTTATCTGAGCAGGCAGGTCTGGAAATTTGTTTAGTATTTCATCAAAACAAAGATACTATTGACGGTCTTAAATCAAGCTTCCTTCCACTCACCTTTCAACAACCATCTTATGCACTTCCTTCCAATTTTCGCTGTCATTGTCTGTCCCCATTTCTGGATTCAGTTCCTGGAGAGAAACACCTGCCACATTCACGCCACTCCACACGGCCACTGTGAAAACAGGACAAACATCCTAGATCTTTCTGACAATATTTCCTCTCTTAGTTTAGATTTCACTGGATTCAACTGGATCTGCTCCAGTGACGAAGGGCTTGAGGTTCCCCCCAAGTGCTGATATTTGCCTTCAAACAGCAGCACATCAGACCTACTAATTTTTAACAATTTTGGTGCAAAACATAACTGTGTGTTATAGTTATTACAGAGAATACAAAATGATTTGCCTCTTACTAGGTTTTTGAAATCACAAGGGATTCTACTTTGAGAGGATCCTAAACTTTTAGCTTGAGAAAATTATCTTTCCTCTTTCTTATATTTTTCTAATATAAGCCCTTTTCTTCTAAAGTTGAAAAAGAAATCCCGGGATAAGACCCAAATATAGTATAACTATACCCAAATAGAGTATAACTATGAAAATGCACTTAAAAAATATAAATAAGGGTGTACTTCATCTAGGGAGTAGAATATCAGAAAGGTCAAAGTATAAATTTCCCTTTCATTCAGTGGAAGTGTAAATGTGATTTTAGTAAAGAGGTTATCTGGATGTTATAAGAATTTGTTCTTCTAAGTATTGCATTATTTATTTGCACTTTTCTACATAATAATTATTTTTACTTTTCTTTCTGATGAATTATATCCCTTTGTTTAAGTTTCTAGGAAATATACATGAAAGGATTTATGGAGACAAGAACAGGAGGACTGCGATTTATGATTAATAAATTGGAGTGAACATACATAAATCTTTGCCATCACCATGGCACAGTGCTTAGGTGCTGTGCATTGGGAGCTGGATACCACACGGCCGACCATGGTTCACATGCCAGAACCTGCTGGGATCCCAGCCCCAGAGGCTCTGGGCACCTATGCATGAGTGTCCAAAATCTTGACGGGATGGAGAAAATAAAGAATGACAGCATGAAATGCCCTATTGTGGAGTGTTTTCTCTCTCTTGTGCTCATGCCCTGTGGTATTAAAAGAAAAGATAAATATAGACAGAGAAAAGAGTAGATGACTGAGAGAGAAAAGGTGTAATAGGATACAAGAATTAAGTACTATTTTTATAACTTTTGTGAAGTACATCAAAGTTGATAAAAATAAAATTTAAAGTTGAACAAAAAATTCTGAATGCCAAGACTAATATCATAAGGACACAGAAAATATTTTCTCTGTTTTTACCACTTGAATCGCCATGTTCTCCCAAAATCCATCCATGGCAGCTGGTGGGATGAACGCCAAGTTTTTCAGCCATGAGATAGCGAAATCTGGCAGAATCCAAATTACACCCACTTCCGATCACACGGTGCTTGGGCAAGCCACTTAGTTTCCAGGTAACATAAGTGAGAATGTCCACTGAAATTTTTAGAAAAAATACATGTAGGTAAGTCAAAACTGACTTCAAATGTTATGTCAATTCCTCTTCCCCCACTTCCCCATTCCTCAAATGACATGTGGCCTAAAGAAGTACTTTCAATTTTTCATTATTAGAGCTAATGGATGAGAGAGACCAAGAACAAATTTTAAGTCCTATATAGAGTTCATAAAACATAAAAACATGCAATATTGTGCTTCTATATATTACATTACATTCTACTTAAAACTAGAATATATTAAGAACTGTGCAGATTGACTAAAGTCGAAAGAAAAGAGTTGAATCAAATCACTTCAGTTTCACCAATTCTAACATTCCATGATTATAGTGACTTATAATAAACCAAACACCATTGATGACTAAATTGCCAAGGCATGCTACTACAAATCTTCCAGGGCAGGAGAAATTATTTCGTAGACTATTATAACGATACATGATATTGAAATTTCCTACTACTGGGGCCAGCAGGTGGCATGGTGGTTAAGGTATTAGACTCCCACATGGCCAACTATGGTTTGAGGCCTGGACCTGCAAGTTTGCTTACTCACTTTCTCTTTCTCTCTTTGGTGAATTAAATAATGATGATGATAATAACAAAATTAAATAAATAATTTTTTCAAAAAATTTCCTACTACTTAATGAAAGGACTTCTATGACAGAAACTTTGTTCCAGAGTGGAACAGCCTCAAAATTGCACAGGCATTAGACTTTTGCAGGTTCAGACAGGATCATGGCACTTACAAGTTATTAAAAGTAGAAAAATATGCCAGCGATGTCTGCCCAAGCACAGGTGCAGCAACTTTTTATGTGCCAGTTATTTGTCATTCTTGCTCTATGTCTATAGCTATATATATATATATGAAGTTTCATATACAAAACCAAAATACTTAGAAAACCCTAATCTAGGAATGCAGAAATGCAGAGAATAAGAATAATTCTGAAATGCTCTCGGTCCTCGGGGTACCCAACTCTCAATTCAATAAAGTATAATGATTTATTCCCCTGGCCCTTTATAAAAAAAAAAGTTATTCTTTTTATTTTAAGCAAAGTTAACACAGGTACATAAAGACTCATCCTGTTACGTCAAGTCGGTCCAGACCAGAGCATTTCCCAGTCCCACCTCACCTCTATGTTCCCTGCTTCTGAGTCAATGACTTTCAATGTTCTTAGCTCAGAAATTGGCAAAGAGCCCACTGGCCAAACTTGGCCAGCTACTTGACTGGAATAAAACCTCCAATAAAGTTTTATTGGAATAGCCATGCCCAGATTACCAATGGCTGCTTTCTCATTACAAGGACGGAGTTGAGTAGTTGCCACAGAGATCACATGACCCAAACGGTCTAAGGTATTTACTATCTATTTGCAGAAAAAGGCTGTCGACTCCCACGTTGACTATAGCTGACAGTTACTTGCACCTTGCTAAGTAACATGCGTGCATGACTGTGTGTGTGTGCACACGTGCACGCATGTGTATGTGATTTAAGAAATATTTATTAACCTCCCAGTACAAAGATTTAGCTCTTTCCTCAATATGGCACGCACATACATACACACGCTTCCCGCCCATTATTCCCAGTATTATTATATGGTAAAGTTAGAACAATATTTGGTGTTTACATTATCACAATTATGTGTACTTGGTGGAAGGGTCAACCATGTAGTAAATTACAATGATTTTCCATTCTTAATTTTTTTTTTTGCTTTCCCTGGAATTAGTGTCAATAGAAACTAGAGTGACAAATATCATACTAGTAGGTTTCAGAGCAAAGAATGTAATGATAAATAGGTTATTTCATAATGAAAAATAAGTCAATTGATTAAGAAGACATGACAGTCTTAAACTATGATATATCTAATAATGAAGCTTCAAAATACATGAAGGAAAGACTGAACTTCAAGTCCATAGAAACAAAAAATGGGGCAGTAGTTGCCTAGGCCTGGAGGGTTTGGGAGACACTGTGAGTGACTAATAGATACATGAGATTTAGTGGTATTGAGAAAGCATTCTAAAATTGATTGTGGTGGGGCCGGCAGATGGCGTGGTGGTTAAGGATGCTGGACTCCCACATGGTCAACCATGGTTTGAGTCCCAGACCTGGAGGCTTCTTTACTTTTTTTTTCTCTCTGGTCAAAACAAAATAAATAAATAAAGTTAAAAAAAATTATTTAAAATAAAGAAAAGATTGTGATAATAGTAGTACACACTTCAAATACATTAAACACCATTGTGTACTTTTAAGTGAGTGAATTACATATGTGAGTTATAGTTCAATAAAGCTGTTTAAAACAATATTTTAATTGTGACAATGTAGAAATGCAGGCGTGAAGATCTGTAGGCTCTATTAGGGGTTTTAGAATACAGATGAAAGAAATGTATAGACAAGATATATTTTTACATATTTGTAAAGTTTCTATGTTTTAAATAAAATTTAAATATTTCAAACATTTTTAAATATTTGAAACAAATATATTCAAGCTTTCATCAAAGTTCAGGCAGCCAGAGTGCTCTCAGGTAGGCCAACCCAGGGGGGTTTGAACCTCTGACAGCCATAGGGCTTGCAGGCTTGCAGGGCACATTTCATTACAGCTGCATCCTTAAAACTCTTAAAATTCAATATGATTCAATTCTAAAGAATTTGAGAGATTAAAGACACTAGAATAAATTTTCCAGAAAATAGGTCAAATATGTTAAATTATTTTTTTAAATTACAGCCACACTCATAGGTTTCATTATATAACCCAGGATTATCTTCACAGAAAAAAAAAATTTTTAAGTCTTTAGATGATAAGACAGACCCAGATGGAACAAACAGATGAAATTGCTCCATAAAAAACTCTGCTCACATTTTTGCACATTTGGCCTGGGACAGTAATAAATTTGTTTTGCAAACACTACTCATTTGTGGCTAATAACAGAAGACGCATGATTGCTTGTTAGTGAATTCTGGTGCAGACTGGAAGTCCAAACTGACAATAATAAAAATCCCAACATACTGAACTATCACAGACGTGAGATATTGTAATACCTGGGTTGGAAACCACAATTATGATGCAGTCGGGGCTATACTTGACGATCTGGGGAATAATGAATTTGAAGACATTAACGTTTCTTTGCACCAGGTTGAGACGACTCTCCCCCTCCTGTTGACGGACTCCAGCAGTCACGACCACAATCTTGGAATTGGCAGTCACAGAGTAATCTTGAAAAAGAGGGGAAAGATATCAATAGGTACTTTAAATACTACTCGGAACGACTCTAGAAGCCTCATCACACGGAAGCTTCTAGAATAGATGTGAGCATTAGATTTCCTGTACTACAGAGTTTTGAAGGTCAATGCTCCTGTGGTTTCCTTCTCCCGTCTCCTTGAACTACGCCAAAGCAATCCAACCATAAAACTGACTCAGAAAATGAACCAAGGAAATAAAGGTGAGCGTACATATTTCTGGCTAACAAAGTCAGTGGGTTGTCAGTAACAAGGTGAAGAATAAATAGTGAGTCCAAAGTCCAACAGGCAGATTTCCAACAACAAGAAAATATCAATTTTAAGTTAGTTTTTGGCATAAGCTAATGAAATCTATAAAGAGGAAGGCACTACAGTGTTTGTTCTTGGCTAGAAATGGGAACTTCTTTCACACTCAGTACTTGAAGGAAGCTCGTTCCCTTTTGAGTGAGATTCTCCAGAGAGTACTTTATTTTTTCTTCAAGTGTGTCCTTTTTCAAAATATGCAGATATTACAATTTGATGTGATCATTGGATGTACTAGTAATGGATGCTTCACATAATTAAACTGTGGCAATGTGACCTTTTTTTTTTTTGGAGGGAGTGATTTTTGCTATAGGGCATGTGCACTCGCCAGAGAGACACAGAAAGCAAGAAATCGGCCCTCAGGGGGGATGGCCACACTGCAATCCCTTCTCCTCCTGGGATTTTGCGCACACAAGCACACGTGCCCAGCATGAGTTTTAAACTGCCAGGTCCGGGACTCAAACTACAATCAACTAGGTGGGAGTCCAGCAACATAACCATTTCGCTATCTGCTGGTTCTGCAATGTGACTTTTTTTTTTTTTTGGAGAGGTTTTCGCTATAGGACGTGTGCGCTCGCCAGACAGACAGAGAGACAGAGACAGAAAGCGAGAAATCACCCCCCAGGGGGGATGGTCATGCCGCAATCCCTTCTCCTCCATTCTCCTCTCAGGATCTTGGACACGCACGCACACGCGCCCGGCGTGAGTTTTAAGCCACCGGGTCCGGGACACGAACCGCGGTCGACTATGTGGGAGTCCAGCGACATAGCCATTATGCTAACTGCTGGTTCCCTGCAATGTGACTTTTGATAGTTATTAATACTTTGGTTCTGCCATGAAATAAAAGTTAATAATCATACCTCTGCTACATAGGGTTGTTGCAAAGATGAAGTAAGGTGAGATACAAAATGCTTTACAAAGTACCCAGAATGTTTCCAATTCAATAAATAGCAGGTATTATTGTGCTTCCTCAAGGTTTTCAAATTAGTTAGTACAATTACTTTTTTGGGGGTACAAAACATTCCTGTTCTCAGATGCACATAAAGAACCATTATGACATAATCTCCTGAAACGTTACATTTCTAATGTACAGAGGGCGTGTGGGAGAGGGTGCACGGAAGTGCCCCTTGAGTTCATCCTCGAGGTTTTGCCTTTTCCAGAAGAAAAGAAGAAACTGCCAACACTGGATTCACCAGGACAGGCAGATTCATTGTCTATCAGAGAATGAGCGAGGGAAGGATGTTTCAGAAACAAAGGTAACTACTGTGGCAGTGTGGAGCGTGGACCACGTGATCATTCTCCACCTATACTTCCAGTGTGAAAATGTCAATTTGCTCTGTGCACATTTTGACACGAGGGCTAGAAGGCAAGTCTCTAGAAATGAATGAAAGAAAACTGGCCTATTGCAAAAGATAATGCATACAACAAACGAAAAATGTTATAGATCACAATGTTAGTTCCTCTTAGTGAGATAAGGGAGTCTTCAAAAAGGTCACAGGAAATGAGTATTACAAAAAAACCGTCTATGGATTTCACTGTTGGCACCAAATAAATATGCATATCAACTTCATTTTTCCATAAAGTTCTTTATTAAAGAATTATTTTATTTAACTTTATTTAATTTGACCAAAGAGGGACAGAGCAAGAACAAGAGAGAGGGAAAGTGAGAAAGCAAACCACCAGGTCCAGGACTTAAACCGCAGTTGACCATGTGGGAATCCAGCACCCTTAACCACCACTCCACCTGCTGGCCTCTCCACAAAGTTTCTGAAGTTCCCTCATGTATCAATGATCATTTGTGGCAAACATATATTTTTACTAACTGATCATTAAAAAGTGAAAGTAAAATTCATGTTAGAGGGAACCAGCAGTTAGCGTAATGGCTATGTCGCTGGACTCCCATGAAGTCGACCGCGGTTCACGTCCTGGACCCGGTGGCTTAAAACTCACGCCGGGTGCGTGTGCGTGCGTGTCCAAGATCCCGAGAGGAGAATGGAGGAGAAGGGATTGCGGCGTGACCATCCCCCCTGGGGGTGAATTCTCGCTTTCTGTCTCTATGTCTCTCTGTCTGGCGAGTGCACGCGCCCTGTAGTGAAAACCTCTCAAAAAGAAAAAAAAAAAAATTCATGTTAGAAATGTAGACTATAGAGAAATGTTTTTATAAAATAAGGATAAAGGGGGAAAGTTTATAATTTGATAAAAAAATTTTTGTATTTGAAGAATTTATGAAACCAGAATATGAACACTTTATTGTTAAGTTACTGAAATAACGACAAAATAATTTCATATTTTCCTAATTAAAAAAATAGGTCTTAGGGCCAGCAAGTGGCAAACCAGTTACATCACTAGACTCTCACATGGCCAACCACAGTTCAAGTATACACCCAGTGGCTTAAAAATCACACTGGGTATGTGTGTGCACGTGTGTGCCCAAGATCCTGGGAGGAGAATGGAGAAGTGTATTATGCTGTAAGACATGGTCCAAACGTATTTTTTGTCATTTAAAAATCAATTTAATTTTAGATCAAATTGGGCATGAAAAGAAATTACCTTTATCTGCCACAATTTTAGGCGTCTGAAGAAATAAGCTTCCGTGCTGCAGATCCATCATTTCTCCTTTGAGCTTATCTTCCAAAACATCCACCAGGGCAAGTTCATCAGCCAGAGACTACAAACACAAACACAGATGTGAACACCCTAGGCCACTGTGGGATGCTGCAGCTCACAATCCAACCTGAAGAAGCCATTTAAGTGACTGAGCATCTAACCTCTGAAACCCTTGAGAGTTTTACCATGGACTTGGGCCCTCAATTAGGGTTCAATTAGCATGATACAAACTATGCTTTAAAAATATGTGGAACTGGGACCAGCAGATAGCATGATGGTTACATCATTGGACTCCCATGTAGTAGAATGCAGTTCAAGTCCCAGATCCGGTGGCTTAAACTCACACCAGGCATGTGTGAATGCATGCCCAAGATCCTAAGAGGACAATGGAGGAGAAGAGATGATTGTAGCATGGCCATCCCCCATTGGGGGTGGGGGTGATTTCTCATTTTCTGTCTCTGTCTGTCCAGCAAGTACAAGTGCCCTATAGCAAAACAAAAAGAAAAATCTCTTTCTTAAAAAAACTGTATATGTAGACCTAAAGGTTCCTCCTAAAATCAACTTGGTTCATCAGTAGGTCCAGGGCTTATAAATAAGCCTTCACATTAAGGAGGCAGGAGGGTAGGGCTGGCGTAGGGGTAGTATTAGAAACAGAGATTTGTTTAAGATACAGAAACAACCTTGGGGAACATGAGGTCACCTCAGTTTGGAGGGTTTCTGAGAGGGCTAACTCGGTATAGACCACCAAGGGTTATGAGCTCACTTTAGAGGATGACTTGAAGTCCTTCTTGATGCTTAGACTCCTTAGGTCGGCTCTGATCAACTCCAATAACTTGATGGGGAAAGGAAGGAGATCTTACGGACAGAGGGGGCAGAATGGTAGACTTTCCTACACAGGATCAATCGAAGTTTCTATCTCTGAAAATGCCCAGTCTCAGAATTCTTTTGTTTTCTATTTCAACTGTCATTTTCTGCCCCCACCACCTCTACAAGATAAATTCTAAATCAGTAAGAACCGTATTTAATCTTGATCTAGAACTGTAATTTTGCATTCTCTGAACTGCTACATGAATAGCAGGAGGAAAAAGAAAGGATGCTCTTTCAGTAATCATCTACAAGAGTTCCAGGAAAATGCATGACAAAATAATGCACAAATTTCGAAATTTCTTGCACCAAAATAAGCTCATATTTTAGTTCCATTTTCTGTAGACTCTTTCGAGTTATCCAGCAAGTGCTCAGTAAGCCTCTGATCTTTTCTTATTGTAAACATTATATATGTGTATGTGTGTGGGGGGGTGTCAATCAAGCTGCATTTAACTAACCAACTTTTTATCTTTCAAATTCTGTGATCTTATGAAAGCCCAGTGTTTACAGACTATTTAAAAAGTGGTTATCCTCCTATGAAACAATCACTAGAGTCCTTGCTTTTACTGTTTTTAGGGCTACTAGCAAAATATCCAGCCTAATAGTCTATATCAATACTGGAGTCCACTTAAAAATGCAAATACCTGTCTAAGGATAGTGTGATCAGCTACACAGGTAAAGGATGTTGATGTGGAAAAGAAAAAAAGTGGTGATTAGGGTTCAGGAAGCACCTGGAAAGATTAAATAGATTAGCCTAGGGGAGATGTGGATGCGTCAGGAAGACAGAGGCCCGCAGAGAGATGAGACAGACAGTGAAGAAAGAACTTGTGACCTACTTAAGCTTGCTAGAAGCAGGTGTCATTCCTTACAGGGGGCCGAGGAGGAACATGGTGCCCTCTCGCTAGAATCCGAAGGGCTGGCTAGCCTCAAGGAGTGACAATAGGCTTGCTAGTGGGGCTTTCTGATCCTGGAGCCTCCTCGGAGACTGAATGTGCTCTTAGCTCTAAGCAACTGAACTGTCCGCAAAATTGAGACGATCATTTTCTAAGTCGGGGATTACCTAGAAAAATATTTTCTCATTTCCATTAAACACTGGCAATAATTTTTGCCCAATTTTAGTTAAAACACATTTTGACACTTTGTTATAAAACCTGCTTTGTTCATTTGCAGCCTGACAAGATCACACAGAATCCTCCTTTGTGTTTAAGTCCCAAATCAATACAATCTAACTTGATAATAGCCATAACCCCCTGTCAAGGTACTGAGCACCAAGAATAGCATTCTTATTTTAGTAACATCACATGTACTCCTGGAATCAACAGGGCAAACCAATTTAGTGCTTAAGCAGAAAAGGATGTCACAGGATCTCAGATCCTGTGTCTTTGTTTCCGTGGGTGTAGAGAATTGGCTGAGAAGTGCACGCTCCACTGACAAGGAAGGAAGGGTTCCAACACTTCAAAAAAATAATCACAGTGCTGAATTTAGCTGCATCTGTGACTGCACATCAAAGTGTGCAAGCATTCAAACAGAAGACGTGTGACTAAGGACTGACGCTGCTGTGTGGCTTAAATAAATCCCCCTCTGTATCTGTATATTTCATAGCCTCCAAATTCACCATCTGTCTATTTCACTTTGAATGCAAGTATATTTCCAATAGTTTGAAATTACTACCACTGCTGGCCTAGACACAGTGGCGTGTGCTGCTAAGGAGCAAGCGAGGACTGCTTGGGAAGCCAGGTTCAATTCCAGGTCCAACCTAAAGGCTGGGGCAGTGGTGCTTGGCTGGTAAGACCCCTGACTTGAGGCTGAGGCAGGATGCCAAGATTGAGGCTGGCCCGCGTGACGTAGCATGACACTGAAAAAGGGCCGGGTGTGTTGTCACGCACCCGAAGTCAGCTTCCCAGCTGAAACAGAAGAATTGTGACAGCAAGACCCTGTCTAGAAAGTTGAAAAAAAAAAAAAGTGACTTCTGCCAATGCCTTTATACTGGATGGTTACATTTTTTCTATTCAACTGTTGATCCTCCATAAAACTTTTGTGGGAGGAAAATATATAACTTTTTAATAAATAGTTAAATGAAGCAGCACCATTTATTCAATACTTAATTTTTGTTCCTCTCCAAACACCACTTCTACCTTCCCGCTGAACAGTATCTGAGTGCATTTTTAGACTTTTCATCTGCTCCATTAATTTGTCTATCCTGGTACAAACACCATGTTTTTAATTATGTTCTTTTTTTTTTTAAAAAAAAGAGATTTTTGCTACAGGCCGCATGGGCTCACCAGGGAGACAGAGAGATAGAAAGTAAGAAACCATCTCCACAGGGAAATGGCCACACCACAATCCCTTCTCCTCCATTCTCCTCTCGGGATTTTGGGCATGCATGCACATGTGCCCAGCATCAGTTTTAAGCCACCGGGTCCAGACTCACATTGCAGTCAACTACGTGGGAGTCCAGCAATGTAACCATTATGCCACCTGCTGGTCCTTTAGTACATCCTACTTTTAAGCCAAGTCCCTCACTGTGAAAACTACTTTGAAATAAATCTGTAATTCCGTTGCTTCTCTTAAGAGACTGGTTATGCAGTTTGCACCAAAAGACCTTGGGTAAGAGTCGACTGAAAAAAGGATAAACACTCAAACTAAAGACAGGTGGACTCAGAGGCTAAGGGTTTCTGCTAATCTTGCCTAGTAGCTGCAGATGACCCTGACAAAAGATGAGATCGACATTCAGATCCTGCTCCTGGCAGCCACCACGTAGAGACTCAGATGGCTAGTGGCCAAAAGTCAAATGTGGCAGGACCAAAAGCCATGACCCAAACTGGACAAAATAGAAGTGCAGACTATGAGTAATGGAAGGAGCACTCACTTATTTAATACATATTCAATATTGAACATGGGAGGTATCATTCTCCTACTGCAAAATACAGTCACAAACAACTTCTGTAATATTTCTGTTCTCATGGAATTTATCGGGAAGGAAACAGGAATTAGGTAAACTACTGGGTTGTTGGAAAAGTCGTGATCCATTTTTACGAAGAAAAATACGTCATGACTTTTCCAACAACCCAATAGTTAGGGTGATTTCTGATGCTGGGACTGCTGTAAAGACCACAGGCAAAGTGATGTTAGAGCTACTGGGAAGGAAGTGTACTTTGGAAGTCAGGGAAGGCCTATGCTTCTACAGTAGTACCTGAGTGAGAGGAAGGAGCCAATCCTGTCTGGGGAAGAACATCACCTACGGTAAAGGGAAAAGCAAAGCAAAGGGCTTGGATAAAAGTGAGCTGGGGAACAGCAGATGGCGTTAACGGTTCCATCGCTGGACTCCCACGTACTCGATTGTGGTCAAGTCCCAGCCCCAGTGGCTTAAAACTCATGCCAAGCACGTGTGCGTGTGTTCCCAAAATCTCAAGAGGAGATGGGAGAAAGGATTGTGGCATGGCCACCCGCCCTTGCAAGGGTGATTTCTCACCATCTCTCCGGCGAGCACATGCTTGCTATAGCAAAATCTCTCCCACACACAAAAAAGGGGAGCTTGATGTTTGCAAAGAAAGAGGGCAAATGCTAAGAGATGAAGTCAGAGACAGTATTCCCACATTGCACTGGAAGGTGTTCCGGTCACCAGGGGGCTAGCATCCCCTGGCATTGTGTGGAGACAGGGATGGGGAGAGCCCGAGGCCTGTATAATATACATGCACTGGGAAACTACAACGGAGTCTTAGTAGGGAAGCCACTGCTTTGCTCAACATTCACTATGATTACTAAGTTGGGAGTGGGGGTGGGAGAGTAAGCAAGAGCCAAAGTAGAAAAACAATGGTGCCTCAAAATGGCAAACACTGCACTGGGGACGCAGGTGCCTTCATGAGTCTGCCCGAAGCATGTACCTCCTCACCTCTCAATTGATGCTTGTCATTTTGTGCACCTTCTAGAGATGAGGCTATGTGTGCCTTCTGCAAAGCACACCGGCCATAGACTCAAAAAAGGCCAGATGTGGGGCCTGCAGGTGGCACGGTGGTTAAGGGTGCTGTACTCTCACATGGCCAACCGTGGTTTGAATCCCGGACCTGGTGGCTTGCTTTCTCACTTTCTCTCTCTCTCTCTCTCTCACTCTGTATCTCTCTGGTCAAATGTAAATAAATAAATAAGTAAACTTAAATAAAATAATTCTTAAAAAAAAAAAAAACTCTTTAAAAGCAAAATAAAGAAAAATGCCACCACCTTCTGACAGGTAATGAGGTCATACCCAGGCACCTGACACAGAGCGGGCACTGTATTTTCCTTTCTCCGTTGATGAGTGGGGTTTCTGATCCTCATCAAACATTAAAACAATTCTGAACCGCGCTAGTCCTTGCCCAGTAAAATGAGATTTAGACATTTTAATGAATAAAAAGGCCTTTCAACAAGGCAGGCATTCTTTCTGCCTTTTTTATTTATGCTTTCAAAAATATGTCTTCATTAAACAGTTTCCAGTTTCCATGGCATTATACTCCATTTTGTAGAAGATAAAGGAAAAGGAGCGTTAGATCAAAACCCAGAAATTACAGCAATGAAACCTGAAGACTCCAACTGCTATGTTAGCAGAGGTTGTTCTCTCAAATGCTTGAGTTGGGCCAAAGTATTACATAACTCCAGGCACGGTCTTAATTAAATTATTTCTTGGAGACAATTTTAGGTTTATGACTACAACAACCATAGTGGTCTTTTAAAAATGTTATGATTAGCACATCCACAGAAGTACTTCTTATAGAATCACAATGATTTCCTGAAAAGTCCAAAAGAATTTTTTAAGAGAGCTTTTTGCTATAGGGTATGTGTTCTCACCAGAGACAGAGACAGAGAAACTGAGAGACCACTTCCCCCAGGGAGGATAGCCATGCTGCAATCCCTTCTCCTCTATTATCTCAGAATTTGGGGCACGCAAACACACATGCCTTGTGTGACTTTCAAGCTGCCAGGTCCAAACTCAAACCATGGTCAGCCATGTTGGAATTTAGTGCCATGCCACCCTCTGGCACCCTAAATTTTAAGATTAAGAGGTGGAGTCAGCAAGTGACACGGTGGTTAAAAAACTGAACTCTCACATGGCTGACCACGGTTCGAGTCCTGGATCTGGCAGCTTGCTTTCTCACTTTCCCTCTGCCTCCCTTTCTCTCTGGTGAGCACATGTGCCCAAAAGCAAATTTCAAAAATATAATAACCATAAATAAAATTAAATAAAAAAAATGAGTAGGAGGTTAAAAAAAAAATCATTAGCTAGTATTTTATTAATGCATACATAGTTTTTTTAAAAAATTAGACCAGCAGTTGGCGTTTTTGGCTATATGTCGCTGGACTCCCATGTAGTCAACCACAGTTTGAGTCCCAGACCTGGTGGCTTAAACTCAGGCCGGGTGTGTGTGCGTCTGTGCCCAAGATCCTGAGAAGAATGGAGGAGAAGGGATTGCGGCGTGACCATCCTCCCTGGGGAGTGATTTCTCACTTTCTGTCTCTCTGTCTCTTTCTAGCGAGTGCACGTGCCCCATATCAAAAAAGCCTCTCAAAAAAATATTTGTTTCTAATTTATTTTATTTATTTATTCATTTTAATTTGACCAGAAAGCTACAAAATGAGAGAGAGAAAGAGAGAGAAGTGAGAAAGCAAGCTACCAGGTCTGGGACTCTAACTGTGATCAGCCACGTGGGAGTCCAGGGTCATTAACCACCACGCCACCTGCTGGCCTCAATGTAGTCACACTTTTAACTGTCCAATACTAGGATAGAATAAGGGAACTGCAGAGTCACTATGGTTAAGAGTTCAGAGCACTGGATTCAAATAACAACTCCTACCACACCAGCTGTGTGCCTGAGTGAGCTATTTAATCTCTTCAGCCTCAGCTACACCATCTGAAAGCAAGGATACGAATGCTCACCATCTCTTCAAATAGCTTAAAATGAAGAATTTTACTTAAAATATTTCTAACACAGTACATACACACAGTATGTGTCTTCCTTTTTTTTGAAAGGTTTTTGCTAAAAGGCGCATGCGCTCGCCAGAAAGACAGAGACAGACAGACATAAAGCGAGAAATCACCCCCCAGGGGTGATGGCCACACCGCAATCCCTTCTCCTCCATTCTCCTCTCAGGATCTTGGGCAGGCACACAAACACACCCGGTATGAGTTTAAGACACCGGGTCTGGGATTCAAACCGTGGTTGACTACATGGGAGTCCAGCGACATAGTCATTATGCCAACTGCTGTTCCTATACATAGTATGTGTTTTTAAAAGGAAGTGTAAGCTGGAATGTTTTGGTTTTTACCTCAGGAACACAGAGCACTAAATTGTGATTACTTAAATTCCCTCTAACTCGGGAGCCCACTACCCTAAATCACAGGTACCAAGTCAGTTTAAACTGGCTAGATGGGCCAGCGTGGTGGAGCAGTGGTAAAGGGCTGCCCGAGCAATGCTGGATCTACATAGACGGTCTCAGGATTTAATCCCTGGTTGACCTGCACACAGTGGGTGCGTTTGCCCACACCCTAGCTGGCTGGGAAGGCTGGGGGGCAGGGTGGGGGGGATTACAGCATGCTTTTCTTTCTCTTATCAAATAAATAAGCTTAAAAAAAAACTAGAGAAAATGCAAAAGAATAAAACTTTCATTTGTGTGGACTCTATATTTTAATTGATTTCTTTGATAACTGCTCCTCAACAAGGATTCAGAACTTGTTTAAAATTTAAAGTCTGTGAACAGAGATATGTGTGGCTAGGAGTTTATTCAGCAGCCTTTACATGTGATACAAAGGGACAGTGTGACCTCCTGAGGACAAGGAGAAGTACTTTTTTTTTTATTTTAGTTTCTACATTTAAGGCACCCATAAGATGGAGTAAGAAATCAACTCAGTGAGATAAATAAGAAAAGGGCTTCTTTCCTCAAAAGTCCTTGGGAACTAAAGAAAGTTCACGATCATTTGAACTACGAGGGAATATGAGGCAGCTGAAAGTCTACGCAGATCTGTAGGAAACTACAGTCTTGCAAAGCGGAAGGTGACAATAGGTATCACTGTTTAGTCTCTGGATGTTGGCATTGAATTGATTACGTAAGAATAGGTCCTATTTCTGGGAAATGTACTCTGAAGGACTTCGACATCAAAGGAATGATGTCTACAATTTTTTCTCAAGGAGTTCAAATAAAAAACTTGCAGATTTTCTCTAAGTTTTAAAGTAATTTCAAAATGACACTAGTGCGTAAGTTTGGAGGTAACAAAAAGATATTCCTCCAACCTCAAAAAGTTATTGCACAAATTATTAATTATAGAAGCTATAGGACCATCTGCTGTCACCATTTTAACAAGGGGATTAAATTCAGTCCTTACTGGGACCAGTAGGTGGCATAATGGTTACGTTACTGGACTCTCATGTGGTCAACTGTGACGGACTCTCATGTGGTCGACTTGTGATTGAAGTCCTAGACCCGGTGGCTTAAAACTGATGCTGGGTGTGTGGACGTGTGTGCCCAAAACCCAAAGAGGAGAATAGAGGAAGGGACTGTGGCATGCCCATCCCCCCAGGGGGTGATTCCACGCTTTCTGTCTCTTTGTCTCTCCAGTGAGCACACAGGCCCTATAGCAAAAATCTCTCTCAAGAAAAAAAAAAAAGAAAAAAAAATCAGTCCCACCAGTAACGATCAACTGAATGTCAAATACCTCCTGATGAGATGCACCAAGGAAACAAGACTCAAGCCTGTCCTAATCCCACCCAAAAACATGTAAACTGAACCCCAATTACAAGGAAATGTCAGGCAAGCTGAAACTGATGGACATGTCACAGAACTGATCTGGGCTCTACAAAACGACACAAAGACAAAGAACAGTTGAGGCGCAGTTCCAGATTACAGAAGAAACACGACAAATAGATGATCTTGGATTAGAGTGAAACTAGCTCTCAGGGGCATCACTTTGGTGACATGGAGAATTTTTAAAATATGAAAGCTGTACACTAGATACCAGTATTGCCTCAGTGTCAAGCTCCCTAAGTGTAGTAGTAACTTGACTGTGATCACATAGGGAGAGTACCGTTCTCTAGGGGGACACATGCTTAAGGATTTAAAGGTGACGTGTAATTATGTCTACAACTTAAAGTGCCAGGGGAAAATGAAAAATTTTTCAGTTACAATAAAATCCTGAAGTGCCCAAGAAGCTGTGTACACATGAAACTGTCACACATGATGTTCCTGAAATGTACCTTTCCCAGAATGCTGATCGCACACGCCATACCAACTTGTCCAACACCCACTACAGTGATCTTATTGTTGGGGACCGTTGCCTCTTCTTCTGCAACTGGTGCAATGAGTTTATCCTTAAGAGTTGCCATTGTGCACTGCAAGAAAAGAATCAAAACATTACACATGCATCCACACAGGAAATCCGAACGGGGATCATCCTTAAAACATGACTGTTACAATTCTGAACTAAGATGTACAACTTAAAAACACAGAATATATTTTAAAGAACCATGAGGGGGCCAGCAAGTGGTATGCTGGTCAAGGTGCTGGATTCTCACATGGCTGATGGTGGTTTTGGTCCCGGATCTGGTGGCTTACTTTCTCATCTTCCCATTCTTTCTCTCTGTGTCTCTCTGGTCAAAATAAAAAATAAACGAGTAAGAACCAAAATAAATAAGTAAATACATCTCAAAAATAAAAGAAAGAACCATGAAATCTATTTAATAGAGGAATTCCTTAAGGCAAAAATGTCCAGGAAGCCCAACGAATTAGGGTTCTTCACTTACTCCTATAATTTCATGTGAGCAATTTTCATTTTTGCCTTATAACCATTTTGTTGTAACCATTCATTTACTGTCTAAATATCATGAATATATTTCAAGTAGCTGATTTATTTCTGTTGCCTCCTAAAGAATTTGGGTCTAATTATTTTGGCTGAGTTTGAACCTAGTATTAACCTATATTTAAGCTTGGTCAAAAACAATTAATGGCAGGATAGGAATTTAATTTCCACTACCAATGGTTATTATCATTCTTGGAAGACAGGGACTAGTTCTTCTACTTTGTCTCTCCTAAAATGTGTCTTTGTGAGTTGTACACCCAATACGTGTGTTATAGATACATAGTGATAATAAAATACTGATGAGTAATATTCATGCAAAGTCTGCAAAAATCTAACTCTAAATTTCTCATGAACATGGATGCTTTTTGGATGGTGGGCAGATACTACATTTTCCTTCCAGGAGGTCACATGAGGGAAACATTAGTCTTGGAATCATTTCTTTCCAATCATCCAAAACAAAATTCCAATATAGCTAAGAAAATTCAATTGAAGGCTGCTGGAAAACATTCTATATAATAAGACCCCACCTTTATCTGTGCCATCAACTAACAGGTTTGTAGATCAATGGAACAATGGTCAAAGTGACTGACATAAATGTTATTGATCCCCTGGCAATTTAGACACAGCATATACTGCCCTGCCTTACTAAACAGAAACAATATAGATGATAAATAGCCCTTTCTTGTAGCAACATGATATAATTCTTACTGTAGCTTGCCTTTTACTTTCCGTGCTAGACTGGTCTGAGGCCGCTCTACCTGTTTCAAACTGCACCACTGTTCCTAGTCTTCTTTTTCCTTCTTATCTGTAATGGACTAAGTAACACAACCTAGTTTAGTAATTGTATATGGAAAGTAAGAGTTAGGAAGGCTCCGACTTGGAAAAAAGTATTTAGATGTGAAGACAACTGGGTAACAACCATTTTGTTGTGTCGCTTTTTTTCCCCTAAAAATATACTTTCCCCCAATCTCTAAGGACGGAATCAAGATCACACGTACAGTGCAGTGTTCCAGTGGATGCTAAAGAGAAAACCACGCAGCGCTGGCAAAGCGCAGCCACAAATAGATGACCTGAAAATAAAATCCAAACATGCCCTGCATTTTGAGCAGGGGAAGAAAGAATGCTGCATCTCTTCTTGTTAATTCACATACAAACATGAATAGTCTTTTCCACTTAGGTTCATCTTTCTTGGTGGGCTTGCTGGAGACTTTAAGGTACATGGGGATGCTCAAAAGCAGTGAAAACACACAAACAGAAAACCCAGAAATGATTGTTATATAAATGCAGCTTAGTAGATAGACCTCTTAAATTATTATAATCTGAAGAATTTCATAAACTACAACTTAGAGGTTTGAGTCAGTACAGGTTTTCTTTCAGATTCTTCTGGAGAAACGTGTTTTCTTTCATTTCTTTCTTACTAGGAGTTACTTAAAAATTGAAAAAACAAAAAAACAAAAACGGTTTGCATTATTTGCAGACCAGTGCCAAAACCAGAGTGGCGGCTCTAACTGAAAAGAATGACAAACGGTAAAAATTACCTCCAACTCTTAGTCCTTTACATTTCCTCACCTCTTACAGTCCTTAAGTTCAGGAATAAAGAGCCTCTTGGCAGAACGCTAGCTATCGTTCTCACCTCTAAAAGCCTCGGTTCTGGTTCTGCCATCTAAGTCCTCGCCAAGCTAAAGCCAGCTCTCCCCTTCCC